GTGAAATATATTTATGTTTGTGGTTGTAATGTGACAAAATATGGAAAAGTTCAAGGGGTATGAATACTTTTGCAAACCACTGTATGTCTAGTTTCATAAAATAATTACAGTCACCAGCACACTGCTTATGAAGTTTATAAAATTTACGTAGCGTAAAAAAAAAAACAACTCTTGGCGAACCCATAAATCAGCACAGTGTCCATAGGCGTCCTGGCATCGCCAAATGAAAGAAGGAGTCGGAAAACCAGAAAGTAACTCTGCCCTGATGCTCTTCTAATGCCCGCCCTTCTGGGTCAGGTGGGACTCTGCCTACAGTGCAGGAGTTTAGATATCTGGGTGTCTTGTTCACGAGTTATGGTAGGATGAAGTGGGAGATGGATCGACGGATTAGAGCCTCGTCCTCGGTAATGAGGGCGTTGATTCGGTCAGTCATGGTGAAATAAGAGCTGTGTCAAAAAGCAAAGCTCTCGATTTACTGATCTGTCTACATTCCAACCCTCACCTATGGTCATGAGGTGTGGATCCTGACTCAGATCCCCAATACAAGTGGCCAAATTAAGCTTCGTTCATAGGGTGGCTGGGCTCAGCCTTAGAGATTCAGTGAGGAGCTCCGTCATCCGGGGGGAGCTTGAAGTAGAGCCGCTGCTCCTCCACATCAAAAGGAGTGAGTTGAGGTGGTTCTGGATACCTCCTGGATGCCTCCCTTTAGAGGTGTTCCAGGCACGTCCGACGGGTAGGAGGCCTTGGGAAAGACCCAGGACTCCCTGGAGGGATTATGTATCTTCTTGGGCCTGGGAACAAGTCGGGGTCCTCCAGGACGAGCTGTGAAGTGGTCTGGTCTGGGTTTCTCTCCTGGACCGGTTGCCTCCATGACCCGACTACAGATAAATGGCAGAAGATAGAGATGGAGATATATCTTCATACTGAAAAATCGATTATAAAAATATATATTTTAATACACTAATGTGTACATGAAGCTTAATGACCATGACCAGCAAACCCTGAAGTAATATGTCAGATTGTTGTTGTTTATTGGTCTTGTTGTTGTTGTGTGTTATTTCAGAAGCGGCGGGTAAGGCGGCGGACAGACAGAAAGGTAAAGCAAAAGGAAGGAGGTCAATCACAGTAGATGCAACATGTCACCGTTAGTCAGTTAGTTGTGCTGAGGAACAGAGGGAGTCGCCACATTCTGATGAACATTTAAACAGATACACTTTGAAGTAGAAGTTAGACATCACTTTTATAATTTCCCTCAGATTTATTATTGATAACTTATTGATAAAGCATCACAGCTGACATGTAACAGACACCAACACAAGAAAACAAACCCAGGCAGACATGTAGCTACAGAGTGAATGAGCACAAATATAAGCTGAGTTAGAAATCTGTTTGCAGATGAGCCCTTCCTGAACTCTGTCTCTGGCACGCATCCTTACTCCACCCTCCCGTCACCTTTTTGTTCAAAGGTGGATTCAGCTCAAAAGCAAGCCTTACATGATTTAAATACCATTGTTCAAAAGCTGTGATTGCTTTTCAGATCGAAAATTCAACTTGGTTTAAAGAAAACAATGTAAGGCTTCGAAAATGTGCTGAACACTTCCTTTAAATTTGGGTTTAAGCTGTGTGATTTCCTCAACCCTTTTCAATTTCCTTTTATTTTTACATCCTTGTTAGTTAATAAAGATCTGAGTGGAATGACTAAAACAGATTTTTCTTCCTCCCCTGATCTTTCTCTCGTGACCTCATCACCAAAAGCAATTCAAGGTCAGATGATCCATGCGACACGTTTTCTCAGCTGCAAAACGTATTTCTTATTTTGCATTCAAATTTCTTGAGCTGTTGGTGAGGTCATCATGAGATGTGATTTTTGCATGGAATAAACCTCGAGTTATCAGGCTTGAATTTTAAAGAAGATGTTTGATTTATCCGTTTTCAAGGCTTCTATTTTCATTGTGTACTGGCTCAGTTTTGGTGAGAGGCCTGATAACTGATGGGAGTCCTGGTTAGACATGGTACTGGGTCGTCACTCTTTCTCTGCGTTTCGCCACAGAGACGTCGACGGGAAAGAAGGTCAGTAAAGCCGGCAGCAGCAGTATCCAGAGGAGCGTGGAGACGGGTATGGCTGTGGAGTACCCACGAGGAGGATCGGCCATGAACCGGCAGGCCAGCAGGGAGTCCACTGATGGCAGCATGAACAGCTACAGCTCTGAGGGGAAGTACGTACACAGTTACACAGTAAAGTTTACCCTCTGATACCTGAAAACATTAGGATGAATTTATGCTTTTTGTCAGATGTCTGATAAAAATTCAGATCTGAGTTGGTGAAATCAGATCTCTGGCCTCATTTTTTTGTGTGATTATAAACTGCAGTTAACAGTTTTAAAACTGAGACTTCAGGGGTCATTTTGACCCAAGGGCAGCAGGAGGGTCAAGCACCTGTAGTAAATTTGCATCCAAAAATCATTTTCTTGTGTGTTAAGGTACTTAATTTAAATGGTTTTAGATGCTTAAAGGCACAGTGTGTAGGATTTGTTGTTTTCAGCGACATCTAGAGGTTGAGTGGTTGAATCATCCTCCCTGGTCCTCCCCCCACCCCCACCCCCCGCTTCCAAACACAAAGGAGTTGCTACGGTGTCTCTCAGGTGTCAAAAACCTTTGATAATTCCAACCGCGATGTCTACCAGCAGCTTCAGGGCTAGTGATGTTTCAAGTGGTAAGATTATGAGCTTTAATAAGTAAAATTATCCCAGCTACAATGACAGACAACAAATATTACATTTATTACATTTATAGTATTACAACCGTTTTTGACACCGCCACCACAGTTTGTCCTTCATGAGCCTTCGCAGACAAGATGGCGGCTGCCTGAAGGGCGACCCGCGACCATGGAGATATAAACAGCTTTTTATAAGGTAAAAATAATAAAACAAGGTCTTTGTCTGCAATGATGAGACATGTTTTTTATTATTGTCATTAGTGATTATCTCAATTTTGGCTAAAAGAATTGACAAAATCCTACACACTGTGCCTTTAAATAAAGGAAATGAAAATATTAATGCTACGCTGATGCAAAATTTGCCTATCGTAACTATTGTAGCTCTTTTTGTTGCTTTTGCATATTTTCATGCGAGAGGGATGAAAAAATTAAATAAAATTGATCAGAAATCAATGAATCAATTTTGTCTCCCCAGTCACGTTTATCCCCTTAAAATTTTCTTAAATTAAAACTTTATAGATTTTTATGAGCATTTTTTTTGTAATTTGGAAAAAAATCCATAAATTTTCAAGTCCTTTTTGTCTAAACTGTTAAAATAAAGTCCTGAAAAGCAAAACAAGCTCATGGAACTCTAGAAATAGGTTCCCAGAATAAAACCCCACAATAAAATCTCAATGAACTCCACGAGTCATTTATGTCCAATCAGAAAATATGAAGGTGGAACTCTACAAGTTATTCCTGCCCAGTCAGATTAAAACCCCAGAATAAAAAAAATTGTAAAACTCCAAAACTAATTTAAGCCATTCAGCAAGGGGAGGAGAAACTCTGAATAAAACTTGTCTGTATTGTAAATATGTATCACAAAGTAGAAAAAAAAACCAAGTCTTGCACCTTTAATGAGTTTTGTTGGTCTGTGTCAGTTTGATCTTCTCAGGGATGCGTTTGGGGGCCGACAGTCAGTTCAGTGACTTCCTGGATGGACTGGGTCCTGGTCAGCTGGTTGGTCGGCAAACACTGGCCACACCTGCCATGGGTGAGTGACGAGGCTTTTAGAGGATAGAGCGACATGTACCTCTACTGCTTGATCTTGAGACACGTGTTGCTGCACTACTGTATTTTTACAGGTGATGTTCAGATCGGTTTGATGGATAAGAAGGGACAGCTGGAGGTGGAAGTGATCAGGGCCCGAGGCCTTACCCCCAAACCAGGCTCCAAATCCCTCCCAGGTAGCCCAGTTTCAGGCACAAAATGTACTTTTCTTTTGCTTTTCAATATCCTTACTTTTCACCCTGTCCTCAGCTCCTTATGTTAAGGTGTACCTGCTAGAAAACGGAACATGTAAAGCCAAAAAGAAAACCAAGATTGCACGTAAGACCCTGGAGCCGCTCTACCAGCAGCACCTGCTCTTTGAGGAGAGTCCCCAGGGCAAAGTTCTTCAGGTAAAGACCAACCAGTCATTGCTGCTATGACCCAATCCCCATTAGCTTGTTTACATGAAGCAGATAACAGTATATTTATTGTAGTAGAGCTGTTGTAAGGTCACAGTAAAGGCCTGAACACACTCCTTCAAAGCCAAACAGTTGATGCGCGGTTAAGTGGTTGTTCAGCATTCGTTTTTCACACATCCTTCATAGACCCCGAGACACACTGCGCCAAGCTCCTGGGAAACCCCTCCCGCTGCAGCACACGTCACTACATTAAACCCCTCCCACTGCAGCACACGTCACTACATTAACCCCCCCCCACCCTCCGCTGCAGCACATGTCACTACATTAAACCTCTCCCGCTGCAGCACACGTCACTACATTAAACCCCTCCTGCTGCAGCACATGTCACTACATTAAACCCCTCCCGCTGCAGCACACGTCACTACATTAAACCCCTCCCGCTGCAGCACACGTCACTACATTAAACCCCTCCCGCTGCAGCACACGTCACTACATTAAACCCCTCCCGCTGCAGCACACGTCACTACATTAAACCCCTCCCGCTGCAGCACATGTCACTACATTAAACCCCTCCCGCTGCAGCACATGTCACTACATTAAACCACTCCCACTGCAGCACACGTTACATTAAACCCCTCCCGCTGCAGCACACGTCACTACATTGGGTTTCTTCCCGCTTGAGTCTACAGTGCAGAAAAAAATCTGAGACCCATCACGCGACGTTATTTGTGCACAAATCTGTTGCTGTTAAAGCTCCGCAGTTTTTATCAGACAGATTCCTCCGTGTAAAAGGTTTGTTTTATTTCCATTAACAAGCTTTTGACGGTTTGACTCTTTATAAACATCTGCTTCCTGGTAGCCTACAACAGTCGGCTTCTGGAAGCAAGTCTTTTTTTTTTTTTTTAACCGAGTGTTTGAAACAAAATGCAGCGTTCGAGCGCATTCAGCACAAATAAACACTCCTACAACTTCTGACCAAACACACAATAAGTTCTTATGTGGAGGAGGGCAGAGTTCGACAAGATTTTATTTTTTTACCTGCCTGGTTGGGCAGGTGATGACAAATGTTAACTGCCCGACATGAAAAGTAACCTGCCCGAAACATAAATGTTCAAATTTTGATAAAATAAGAAAAATGTGTACTGTACTTTGTACTACAAAAATATTTACAGTACATGGTTATACAGAGGTAAATAATATATGACATCTGAATAAACAGATGCAAACATTTTAGACTGAGTTACTAACAGTCAAGAACGTCTTCAAAAAAGTGTTTCCCTTAGAGTATTGTTCTTGGGGGTGGGGTTTATGAAAACAGAATGATCAACAGCAGCAGCTTTGTTTTAAATACAATTTACAGAACATGAAAAAGCCTGAAATTTGCATTAATTAAATCTTATATATTGAATCTCATATCCAAAGAAAGAAGTGGAGTCTCCATAAAACATGATGATAAATCTGATGTTATTTATACAAGTCAGAATATAATTAGAGATATCTTAAATAGGTATTTTGAATTGTCAAAGTATATTAAGAGATGTCTATTTATTTGTTTCTTTCTTTTTCATAAAAACAAAACCATCTATGTACAGCATTAAAAACCCAAAGTAAATCATACCCTGAAGTAAAAGGGTGCAGAGT